TCTAAGCCAAGAGCCAAAGGGGGTTGCTGCGAGCACAATTTGTACGAGGTACATATTTCGTACTTCTTCTGCCACACAGCACCAGATGATGTCTGTACAAGGTGTAAGTGTACGAGTACTTGTGTGTACGTGACGATACTCGCCGGTACAACCTACGGAGCGTGAGCCGCGCAGCTGTGTTTCGGGTGCCGGATAGGATGGGCTCTGGATGGTCCTGCAGCCCGTCTGGTGTGCTGTGCTGCACAAGTTCAAGTGCCTGGTGTCCGTTTCGAGCCAACCCGCAGCATCTCTGGAGCACCCAAAGCTGCGCGGGGATCACGACTAGTGATTGAGTGAGTAAGGGAGCTTGTCTGCTGGTTCGAATTCCTAGTATTACTAGCGAGTGCTAACTGCTAGTAGGGCAACAGTCGCGATCTATTCGTTGACCTGCCGTCGCGACGAATGCCAGGAGCTTGTCGTTCTCGAATCTGCCGCGCTCCACGTACATTTCCGTGCCGAAGCAGACTGACGGGACGTGGCACATGGAGACCAGGGACACGCCAGATGCCTGCACAAGCACGAAGCAAGCAGTATTACCTACAAACGTACTGTACTTCGCTTTGCCGGCCCCCCTTTGTTGGCCGATGGGCAGCCTGCCGGCCGTGGGCAAAAAGAGGGCTTGTACTTGTCTCTCGCCCCCCCTTGACTGCAATTCCAGCATTGATACAATGCACATCTTATTACGGCGCACCGCTGTGTTGGTACTGGCGTGCCAAGGCTAATAACTTGACGTCTCGTCTCGATCCCAGCGACTCGGCATCAGTAGGTGCCCTCACGAACGTCGACAAGGGTGGCAGACGGAGTTTCTGGTGGGTTCCCGGTTACAAGCTCTTACACGGCGGTACAGTACGGGTCGTGACGCCGACTACGAAAGACGAAGTACCCCATCTCTCCCTGGCCCGCCCTGCGCCCGTGTCACCCCGACGAAGACGCTCTCGCAGTGACATGCCCACCCATCAAGGCCGACGCCGTGGTTTTAAGGCCGTCGACGGCCTAGACCCTGGCTGGTGGAGGTAGCACTGGGCGGCCGCTACTGCTGGTGTCCCCCCCTGGGCACCCGAGCACGGAGACTGCCTGGGCCGTCCTAGCACCGCCTGGATGCCCTGGAGCACTAACACTGCAGCCCGCGACGCTCACAGGCATCGTTGCGACGGCACCCCAGCCTGCGGCGTCTGCTAGGGAGGTTGGCTCCATGCTCTGGGCCCTACATACCTGGTAGGCACGGCCCTAGAGCTCTCCAGCGCACGTTTGGCTGGCGGGCCGGACGATCGCTGGCTCTGCTCACCTCCTCACTCATGCAAACCCGACGTGAAGGCATGCACGGCGACGGGGGCAACGGCCAAGAGCAGAGAAGGGGGACAAAAAGAAAGGAAAGAAAAAGAAAAAGTGAAGGGCAAAAGCTGAGCGAATCCTGGCATAGAGGCCGGTACGGATGGATATTGCCAGATCCAGCATCCCTGGGACGGACTGCGGCGGCTCCAAGCGGCGATTGGCCCAGCGAACCAGCTGCGTTCCAGCTCCCTGCCTGGCCTGGCCAAACCTGCCGCTTCGGCTTCTGCTTCTGCTTCTCGGGGCATGGAGCGAGGCTCAGGTTGGTCGAGTCCGCCTTTTCGCTTGCATCCTCACCTCTAGCTCTTGATACCCGAACTCATGCTCCTTGTC